ATATTTTTATCTTTTATATGTGACAAAATCTATAAAAATTATTATGAATAAATTGATAAAATGTCTCTAAACAAAGATTAATTGACATTAATGTGAGTTGTGCATGGAAGTACAAGACTCTAAAACTACTATTACATCAAGGGACGTGGTGGCAAAGGTAACATCTTCGTCTGGGCGACTGGTAATGGTGGACTAACAGACGACGACTGTAACTGTGACGGTTATACGACTAGTATTTATACAGTATCTATAGGTGCCATTAGTGACCATGGACTGTCTACGTACTATACGGAAACGTGCGCATCGACTATTGCGGTTACGTTCTCTGGCGCGTCGCATCGCGAGGCTGACGAAAATAAAATTGTAAGTTGAATTGATTCAGTCAGAGAGATTAGCTAGTCTAGTGTCAATCAGCAGTCCATAAAAAGGATATGTCAATCAGTCATAGAATGTCAGTTAGATAGGCCTTTAGTAAGTCAACCAGTCAGCTTGGCAGCCAATCTGGCGGTCAGCAACTCAGTCATTTAGTCAGACGTTAGAAAGTTAGCCAGCCAGCCAGGCAGTCACCCAGCAAGGGAAAGTCAGGCTGGCACTCGGCCAGTCAGGGAAGCAGGTAGACAGGGCAAAGAGTCAGTCACTCGCTCAATTAGACAGTTAGTCAATCAGAAAGTCATGCCCGTTAAATTTTTGTAGCTCTCGTTTTTGGAACTGAATTATTGAAGATTCCACCTGTCCTCAATTTGCGATGATTGACGCTGACCCAAAGCGCTATTCAAGAGTTGTTCCCTGTTTTATTCTCTACTTCATCGTATTCTAATGATCTCTTTACGCATGTCAATTAGATTACAACAGATCTCAATCACAAATGCACCAAGACCTTCAAAGGAACATCCTCCGCAGCACCGCTGGCATCAGGAATGCTGGCTCTTGTTCTTGAAGCAAAGTAAGAATGTTTTTCAAAGTCTGGAAWATAACTCACTCTYGGAGTTTTAAGGCGATTGCGTATTGGARAGGTGTACTGTAATATTGATGTTTTTCATTGGCTACTGTGTCAAAAATATTCAATACAAGTCGTGAAAACAAGAAAAGCTAGAGGAAAAAAAGCAGGACGAAAACGATAGATACTGATTTCAATATTTCCCAAAATGATTCGAGGGTCTAAATAGTAATTACTTTAAACGTTGGGCTATACAGTAATTGTTTCCGGCTTAACGGTCATTTCCTTTAATGACTTTGACGAGATGCACCATGGATTTGAARAAAGCACAAACCACATGTCGTTGTTTCTGGTGTTTCAGGCTATATTTTTCCAACAATAACTATTACTTATTTCACATACACACTAGTATACCCAAAGTATAAGCATCTCATGTAATGCTCTTCCTTTTTAAAGAAGAAGAATGMTTAAAAGCATTCTAGACCAACCATATAGCTTTAGTTTCTTAAAGAAACTTCGTCATCCCATGTTGTCCGTCATCTTCAGTGTCATCAGTTCCATGATGCACTCTGGTGAACCACACATGATGTCATCAAAGGAAAATACGTACTATTACATATACACTCRGGCTTACTACTGGCCAGAAAGTTGCCTTAAGTCGTCTTAAGTCGCCAAGGGATCCCACCTAATTGTAATCAAAATTTCCTTAAGTTGCCTTAAGACGCCTTTTAAAAGCTGTCACAGTGCCCCGCACAATTTACGCTCACTTTTTCTTAAGTCGACTTAAGTTGCCTTGATTTGCGACGACTTAAGGTGACTTTCTGGCCCTAGGATCCTAAGAACCATATTTGCTTTTAAATCACAGTCCAAATTTATCCTGGAGAGACGTACAACACATTATCGTCGAAACATCTCAAAAGACGAGTCCACTCGACGAAGGATGGAAAAGAAACGGCGCCGGAAAACTCTTCAATCACAAGTTTGGGTTTGGAAAACTGGACACAACACAAATGGTGAATGCTGCTTTGAATTGGAAACCCGTTGCTAAGCATCGTGTCTGTAATGACTCAAGATATGACACGAAGAGGTGAGTACAAAAAAATATTTGGGAACATGATAAACCAATCAGCTGCCCGATAGGCATTCCTGCAATCTGATTGGATCAGGATTGAMCGAATCCAGCATTCGCTCAATTGAACAAGAGTTTTGACGGACGAAATAATCGAACCTTCATTTGTAGATCCCAGTAATGTAGCACCGGTCGAAACCTGCTTTTCTGATTGCTYCTTAAGTACAGCAGGTCTATTGTTAGGTCAGGTTTTTTTATTGTTTGGAAGACTTGTTTATCCCACGAACAGCTAATATACGCTATGAATATTGCATGCATTCTTACTTTCTAAATGTCTACGATGCCTCTTCAAATTTGACTAAACTCTAATATTTTGAAGTAAATATATATTGGACGGTAAATTCCATGTAGCACCAATCAGGGTATTTCACCAGTACTAAGTGACAATATCTACAGCATTCATGCTACGTGACATATAATGTTCACTTGTTTTCGTTGACCAAAAATTCAGTTTTATACAAGAATTTGACCCGTTTGGCAGTCCATATCTTTCGTGTAATATGTTTCCATATTTCTCTTTGTTAAGGAATATACCATCATCCGGGAGTTTGATACTCTCAGCTGAAACGTCATCATGTGAAGGATCTACGTCAGAAGTACGTAAGCTAGAGCATGTTCAGGTGGTTGTCTCGCTGAAGCATCGACGCCGTGGAGACCTTAGTATCACCCTCATTTCACCATCTGGAACACGCAGTCAATTACTGAAGACGAGAAGGAATGACAAATCTACAGAAGGCTTAACGGTAAGAGTACTTAGGGCACTACAAGAAGTGACATCCTCAAGCATGTTAAGGCCTGGGAAATGCTTCGCGGGGGGTATAAAATCAATTTATTTTTGTCCTGTAGTCGTTTTTGCTTCAAACCTTACAAAATTTGGCATGGGCATGTATCTTGACAATCTTTCGATTTTAGGGAGAAAAATTTTACACTNATGTGAAGGAACTACGTCAGAAGTACGTAAGCTAGAGCATGTTCAGGTGGTTGTCTCGCTGAAGCATCGACGCCGTGGAGACCTTAGTATCACCCTCATTTCACCATCTGGAACACGCAGTCAATTACTGAAGACGAGAAGGAATGACAAATCTACAGAAGGCTTGACGGTAAGAGTACTTAGGGCACTACAAGAAGTGACATCTGTATGAAGAGATCATATTTAATAAGCCAATGAGACCTACTACCGCAAACATTATAAGCGTGAAACAGTTCAATATAAATGAATAGAGGGGGTTTTATAAAGCCGTGAAACAAAGTGTAATAGGCAAAGTGTAATGATGCTTGATACACAAAAAGACAAAGAAATGATTGCAGAATGAAGAGTAATGAAGTAAAGTACGCCAAACTAYATTTTCACGGATTTATGAAAACCACTCCCCTTGTTTTCTATTTTCAAATCAACACTGTTTAGCAATTTTATATGTCCAAATTTGGTTAGTATTTTGCCTTGCTTTTAGCTTCATGTCCGGCACTCGAATTACATATACAGCATAGCAACTCRACGGATATTGTATAGCTAGTCRGCTGGACAGACCCTGTAGGAACCTGTGTAAATAACAAAATCCTCGGTTTCCCTTAGCCTTCCCCCACATGGCAATAGTCAACAAAATATGAAGTGCAAGATAACAAATTAACAATCAACACTGTCAGCAAACTTTCATGCTGAGTTTTGGAGTACTTTTTGTTTTCCAGGACTGGGTCTTTATGACAGTGCATTGCTGGGGTGAAAATCCCAAGGGATCATGGTCCTTGGTCGTCACGGACAACGACAGAAACACGCGTGAGCACCATGTTATAAAAGCTAAGCAAGGTGACATGGAAGACGTAGAAAGAGTCGTTATGGACGATTCCGAGAAACGTGGAAACTGGGACTCTCGYGTGGTCAACGAATACGAGAGACCAAAAAATGCCTCCCCGGGAAATGAAACGAAAAACGACCACATTCTTAAAAACATGGAGGACACTACAGGGGAACTAGTTAAAGGAAATAAGTTTGTTGAGCTTGCCAAGAGAAAGAAAAATAGGAAAAARGTAGCAGAAATTTTGAAGACTGAGAAATCTCARACTGATCATGCGCGAAATGCTAGTAAAGTCCCCAAGAACCACCAGTTCATCAAAACAGTAACGAGTTATCGTGCAAAAGTCAAATATTGGCACAGAAAGACAAAGCATATGAAAAGATTTTGGAATCGACATAACAAAGGCCGCAAATGGAATCGAAAGCATCGCAAAATGAAAAGCCATCGAGAAAAACTTCTCGAAAAAGCGAAGCATAAGACTTATACGAAGAAAGMAAGCAAAAATAATACGAAAAAGCTCTTAWTTGCAAATACTAAAATGAGCAGCAAAAAGCAATGGTCTTTAAGTAAAGTCAAAGRTAAGCCAACCAATCTCAATCAAGACAAGCAATTGAAKACTTCGAYGCCTGTTGGACGTCTAGAAAGCTCTACTACTACAGCCTCTGCCACAAAAAGTGATCTTCAGGCAATTGCAAGCCCCCTTATCCAAAAAATCATAGGGATATCAAGGACGGCTAACTTTGTTTCTGCACAGAATCACCAATCTCTTGTTGGTGAGGTCAATATCAAAATGAAATTGTTTGGAAATRGTATCAAACAAAAGGACACCAAAGCTGCTGATCACGCTGACTCATCTAGAAGTAGTGTGCAATACGAACATCGCAAACACCAGCAAAATCCATCCGACGCAAGTCTACCTGTTGACATTTATGCAAAGCTTTTGAGATCGGTTGAATCGATGCGTAGAAACTCCAGTGAAAGCGATCTGGCTAAAGAGCAGCAGCTCACCCGTGGCCCAATGGTTACAAAAGGTTATTCGAATGAAAGTGTACCTTCCGAAAGTCACCTAAACGAAACAAGTTCATTACAATCAAGTTCTACTGAAAAAACTCATCCCGGAAGTTCTTTTTCCGGAAGTCGTTTGAACGGAACCGAATCTACAAGCGATGAAACCGGAAAAGAACCTATGCCGACAGATAAAGATGAGGAGAATAGTGCTGATATTAATCACAAGCCGTTCATATTTTACGACAATGATTCTAAAAAGTACGTAGCATTGGGTAAGACAGACGCTTCAAAGAATGTAAACTCTTTTGTTATTGTGGGTGAAGGATCCGGAAGCGGAAGTGGAAATCAAGACAAACCGGAAAAGAGTAGTGACATTAATGAGAAAAGGTGTGGAGAATCTCAAGATGGAAATTGTGAAGATGATTATTACCGAAATATTGATTTGGAGGAAAGCGATGAAGATGCACCTTTCAAGAAGTTGTTAAAAGACCAAAATACAACAAAACAACCAGAGGACGATTTTGGGGATGTCGACAAATTTAAACTTTCCAAAATTGAATTATATCCACCAGAAGAAGAATCCAAAGGCTTTGGAAAAATAGACGGCATGAGCCACATAGATGGAAGCGAGAGTGGCGATCTTCCTGAAAATGGTGATTTCAGCGAAAGTAAAGAGCTTGATTCCGGAAATAAAGTRACAGGAAATGATGCAATGAATAATTATACAACAGGTAATGATGAAACCGGAACCGGAAACCCAATGACAGAGAACATAGATTATGATATGCATAATTATAGCCGTAAAGAATATCAAAGCGGAAGAAAGCTGTCAGGAGGAAATGGAAAGTATCAAAGTGAAGATAGTTCTTTAATGTACAACAACGATACTCAAAAACTGGAAGAGCAAACAAAGCCACCCCMARCCGGAAACAGAATTTCTAAAACAGGARGTGAAAGCATAAGAAGTGAGAACATTAACATTAAAGCTAATGATATTAACATCGCAAGAGATGAAAACACAAGAACCGGAATTAAAAATGCAGAAAAAGTCGATGGAAATGCCGGAGCTGCCAAAGCAAATGCTCAAGAGGTCGATGAAAGACCCGGAACCGAAATAGCAAGAACGGAGAAGGCTGTAACCGGAAGAGCAAGTGCAAGGAAGGTAAATGGAAATTCAAGAACTGGAAAAGCAAGTTCAGAAAATGCCAATGATGAAGATCCTCTTAATTGGGGCTTATCAGATTCAGAGGCTGCGAACCTGGACCTTGAAAATAATGAAAGTAAAAACGAAACCTCTGCGATCCAGTCAGCCAAAGAAACCGACCAAGAAAATAAAATAAATGATGATTTTGGTGATATGGGCTCAGATGATTACCAAGACCTTGAATTGCGTAAAAGGTATCAAAAGCTCCGCAGTGCTATGGATAATATTTATCCTATAAATTCCTCGAGCTTTGAAGAAATGATAAAAAAGAGGTTAGAGGAGGAATATGGAGTAGACAATACATCGACCAGTGAGAACATAGAGAGCAGTATTCCAAAAAATGATTCATTTGAAGGCGAACGAATTGAGCACGAAAACCAAGTCACTGATGATGTAAGTTCCAGTGATTTCAGCGGAAATGAGATTTCTGGAAGTGGAAATGGTAAGAATACAGAGTATGAAATTATAGACTTAGCTGATGTTAAGGATGATATCGGTGGATACGTAGGAGAGTCCCAAAATCACTCAGTGAATTCAAGCGCAGAAAACAATTTTGCCAGTGGGGATGGGAAACAAGAATCTGAACAACAGAACGTTACACAACAAAGGGTAACTGAAAAGAGCATGTCTGAAGAGAAGGTGCCTATTGATGTTTCATTAAATAAATCCAAAGATACTAACCCCGAAGGGTCCACTCCTGATCAGGGACAAGATTTATCAGGACCARTACCAAATAAAGTGCACGTAGATAACGACGCACCAACAATATATGAGCCAGCYGCAGAAGAAAAAGACACAATGAATGAAGCAGAACCAACACAAGAAGAGGTAAAACAGCCCGAGCAATTAAACAAGGATGCACCTCCTGTTTATCTAGATGAGGCACCAAAAGATGGTGCTCCAATAGAATTAAATGGGGACCCCGAACAGATAGGAAATGATTACCAGGAATCAGAGAATGACGATTCTGAGAAGCAAGAGCRAACTTTAGAAGCCATGAGAACGGAAAACTCCAAGAAAATCGAAAATCAGGAAAAGCCTGAAGATGGATTCCTTCAGCGTGTAAAAGAAGACATAAAACAGAAAAAAATCGGTGATCTTGAAAAATTGGAGAAGGTTTTGAAACGAAGAATGTCCAAAGCAATGCATGGCTTAAGCGATGAGGATTCAAACGCGATATTGAAGGCAGTAATGTCAGAAAAATTACCTGAAGACTCTGATTCTCAACGACTTGTTCGTCGAGGTTTGGCTAAGGCTCCATCAAAAGCAAATGATCAAGTGAATCAATTAACCAATGAACCCTCAATCAACAAAAGCAAGCAAGAGCATTCTGGAATACTTGAGTCTTGGAGCCTAATATTCTATGGAACATGAAGTGGAATTGATTTCTATGTTTTTTTGTACATTTTACACAATTTAGAGACATCGTTAAAAGAATTTAGATAGTGTATAGCTTTAGAAAATTATAGTTTTGTAAACATTTCTGTACAAATCATTTGTAGCCTTAATATAGAGTGCACGCGATTAAACCGTGAAATATGTATCGAGCGCTGATTSTTTCTTTTTKTTTATTGCCTAATCAAACTTTTGGCAAAAAGTACGTGYATTCATGGAATTATTCGTTTMAATAAGAACACAATAAGCCTGAACTTTAAGAATGGAAGTTCTGGTATGCAGGGTATAATTGTATCGCACTCAATGGTCTTCGATTCGTCGTAGAAATTATCTTGGAAACTCAGTGAAACTTTATGTTGTGTCCATAATGGTATGGTAATACTAGCGCCAAGGTTGTCCAASTTGTYTCGCAACATCTCTGAAAAACAAGGTGGAAAGTGCGATTCTGCGCGTATTACTAACTTGAACCAACTTGTTTGGCAGCAAAATAKTTTGTTGCTCGTTGAAAAAGTATGTTGCAGAAAGTAGAATATCGTTATTTTCAATAATAAAATCCATCGATGTTGCGCATAATATATACCCTCTTGTCTCGCATCAAAATGACGTCTCGTGACAATCACGTGACTGCATTGGCCAATCAGAAATAAGGATTGGTCAAAYTTGCAGCAAATCATTTTGATGCGCGACAATTTGGTTCAMAAGTAGTAAAAGGCTCTGCATCACTTTGCAACTTGTTTTGCAGCAGTGTTGCGAGACATGTTGGACGATTTTGCTGCTCGTTACAGAACCTTAAGATGAAGTGAAGTCCTCTTTATAAATCAATAACTTGACAATGTATAATTAAATTACGTGAATCTAATTCACCAATATGTTAAATGTATCTTATACATCTGATAATACTTCTGTACAAACACTGGATTGATTCAGACCTCGTCTTTCTATACAATGTTCATTAAGATGCTAGAGACCTGCTTCAAGTCTATCTCGCTGTTTCGTCCATCGACGACGAATTTTTACGAACGTCAAACGATAAAAACTATTCCAAAAAACTGATTCTAAAGAATGTAAGTTTGCCAAATATAAKATGGACCACTGAATATGTTCCCAAACGTGATTCTTTGACATCTATAAAAACGCATGCATAATGAGTGTTTTAAAAAGAAGCTGACCTTAACATTTCCCTTTGTCTACCATCATTAGGTTATACTTCTTCAAGAAATTGTTATAATAGTGTTCTTTATATCCCCAATGGATAAGTTATTTGTTKTTGCTGTRTGTTTTTTTTCAAAGGCAAGCAAATTACATTAGAATCCCCATGTTTAAAGGCTCCGTATGTTTCGATTTGATATGATTCAGTAATCCCCGGTATCTGACAAARTTCCTTCCACAGTGTTTACATTTGTGAACTGTGTTCTCAGTCTCGTGCAGCTTCACATGTTTTTTCATATTGCTTGGATCACTGAACGACTTGTCACAAAACTTACACTTCAGCGGTTTAAACCCAGTATGCGTGCGCATGTGGATTTTCAAGACGTATTTCCTGCAATATACCTTCCCACAAAAGTCACATGTGAAACCTTGAGTAACACGTGGTCGAGCTTGTGGACCACCTAGTGGTATCCCGTAAGGCAGAGCGAGAGGCTGGAGGTTTTGGTATCGCGAGATCGAGGCGATGGTGGCTGCTCTGTTGGTCATGTCTTTCATGGATAGRGARGATAGCATTGTGTTTGGGAATAGCCAAGGCCTTGTGTAGTAGTAGCGAGGCATCAGTGACGAATGTGGTTGAGATGTACTGTTATCGTCGTCATTAGCCATTCTTTTGCGTTCTTGCTTGCAATGTGAGCCAAGGTCATCACTATGAAGTTCTTTGTCAGTTTTATGTTCAATGGAAATATGCGCCTCCTCATTATATTCGTCAGAATTTCTATCTTGGTACTTAACTGCTTCATCTTTAGAAATAAATGTTTTGCTTTCTTGTTTATCATGGAAAACATCGGGAATTTGAATACCTCCTCGTTCGAGACCATTCTCCTCAGTGATCAAATTAGCACATTCCGTTTCTGGCAAATTCTCATCTAGTTTGTCCTCGCTAGAAATTTGAGGTTTCGCCTTTGTATCTTCAGAAAAGGAACTAAAAGGATTCCAAATCTTACATTTCTCAGAGCGATTCACTGACAAATTCTCATCACAACGAGAATTATTGCCTCGATAAAAAAGATGACCCTTGCTGAAGTCACCGTTGTCCAAGGAACTGTTGTCAAAGCAACTCGTCTCGTATTTTTCGAACTTAACCGCTGGTCTTTGGATTGACACAGTCGTTATGTAGTGTTGCTCTTCTTCAGAAAAGCGAACCAATGAGCATTTTTCCAGTCCTTCCCGGTAAAGATGTTTTCTGAGGTAGTGCTCGTTCCCTTGAAATTTTTTTCGGAATTCTTTTTTGTGATAGTCTGCGAGAGATTCAGAGCTAGCATCTTTGAGCTGTCTTGGATGGGAAAATGAAGAGATGAGGCTTGCGAGCCTAGGATGTTCAAACGGAGGGAACTTCTTGTGTGAAAASCGTCGAAACGCTGATTGTAATTCACTATGATCAATGCAGGAATCTATGCCAAGAAATTTCATCTGAGATGGGCTTCTGTAGGATTTATCAATGCTAGGAGAGTCCTGGGATGCTTGAGATGAGAGKTGTTGAAATCTCTTATGATGGCTGTCTGACTTAACTTTGTGGTCATACTTGTACAGGTCATGCGCATTGCTCCTGTGGCTGATCATTTCACAGTTGGTGCAGTGATGCCCGTTTCCTAAAATAATTGTGAAGACAATTACATTTCATATTGCACTATTTCAGTAAACTTAGGCAAAAATGAAGTTATAATAGTTAAAATATGAGCAATCTGGCTTGACATTTGACAAAGGTGAGTTGCTAGCTTAGCTTTAAAGCTCCATAATGAGTTCAGTTGTCTGATGCTACCAATCAATATCACCAGATTTTGTGAATAAAACATAAATAATTTACTTTTGAAAGTTGATCGATAAAAATGTGAATTGTTTACCAATTCTGATAATGTTGGGATTGCAAGATTGGTGCATCGTGTGACTTGGAAGCCAGTGGCCTCCAATCAAGAAACCCTGTTTCCGACAATRATGAATTGTGTTAATGAACTTTGATTTTTTATTATTAGCAGTGAAGCTTCTTTATGATTTATTTCCTTTTTAAGAAACAAGAGAAATGGAATAAAGACCGAAACTAAATACAATCTCAAAGTGCCGTGCTTGTGTATACAACCTTGTCAAACAGYTATTTTTGTCTTAATTCCACTGCTTTCTCTTGCCTTGCTCTATTAATTTTTCAAAGACAATCTATTCCATGACGTTTAGTTTTGACGCTGAACGTCTGACTGCCTGACGTTTAGACACTCTAAGCATAATATCAAAATAGGTWATTGACAAGAACGAACCTTTTTCTTTGCCATCCATATCATGCTTTGATATCCCAAGCTCCCTTTGGAGCGATGGACTGAACCAGGCTCTAAGTTCTTCTCTCGGTAAAATATCCCGAGTGGTCCTAAGATATATTTCATCGTCGGGCCCTCTAATCATCTCCATGGTTGGGTCCCACTTACATAACGCACCAGGAACTATGGACAGCCATATTTGTTCGTCTGTTTCTAAGCTGATATCAATTGTGCTTTTGCTCGTCTGTAAAACATATGGGACAAAGTTAGAACAAGAAGTGATATATTATGGTGAAGTCGAAGGTTAACTTTCACTAATAAATTCAATAAAATGTAGGAGAAGCCGACGGGTTCCAGGGAGAAATATATMTGGTTTTATGTCCCAGCAAGCTGTAAGTCACAACTGGTTGTCAGCGAGAAATTCAAGAAAAAAAGAGCTCTCCCGGGAATGAATCTTTTCTAAGGATTTTTTCCAAGAAAATAAACATTTCCTAACTTAAAAATATAAGCCGTTTTTTACCATGAAAACCTTTGCCTTTGGTTCAGTAGGAACAAAATTATTTTAAATTAGAAAGAAGGGAGCTACATTTGCTTGTGAGATTGTCAACAATGTAGCTCAAAATCCCTTCCCAAGGAAAATTAAAAAAATTCGTACAAGAASAGTTATTTAGAAGAACAGATCGCGTCGGCTSCTCCTGAAAATCTTGCAGCTCGTTTGACAGTAACGCGCATGTCTAGAGTACTGGACATCACAATGTTAGATCTATCTCATAATAATAGACTGATGTTTATTAGTTTTAGGTAAATTCATTCACTAGTGCCTGGCCAGCAAAAGCACAGAAGCAAAGTGAAAGAGCTGACAGTGCTGATTTGCAAAATAGTGGGGTTTCTGTGAATCTATTTGTCTGTCTGTCTGTCTGTCTGTCTGATGTCTCCATAACTACTCACAATGTGATTATCAAATTTTAAATTAAAAAAGTAGAATGTCCTTTTATACTATGGATTACCAACAAATGATCCAGCCCAAGGGGTCAATAAAAGTATATTACGATCTCAATTACAAACCATTCAATAAATTATCTTGAAAAACCTACTTATTTCCACTAAAACCGTTTAACATATCGTACAGCCGACCTCCCGTAGTGAAAATTGCTTGAACTTTACGACTAATTAGCGCTACGGACTCTGAAGGCCGCATAGTAAGACTTCCGACCGATCCAAATCAACCCAGTATTCCTACAAGTGCTTAAATAGACCCTTTTTAGCTTTCCGGGTCTATTGAATAGACGCTTTCTCATACTCTATTAGGGGTATTTTATTTTGGAAATATGGTCCGGAACTAGCACCTACTTTCATCTAGTGGGTTGAAAATATTAGTCGTCTGTCAGATGGGTCTTATCTTTTAGAAACCTTTTCTTTTTTAAGATCGTATCAGCTTAGACTTTATCGCGATAGTTTTCTTTTTTGAAGTATCGGAGATAAAGTTTCGCAAAGGTTTGTGTGTGTTGTTATCTGTGTTGCCAGTATACGTTGTTGATTAATGCGATAGGAGTTAGTCTGATGAGAACTTCGCGCGCTGTGGTTCATTGTCCTTTTAATAATCAAGATCTTGTCTCTTTTGTAGTCTCTGCTGCTATTCTTCTCGCTCGATTAAATTTTTTTATTCAAGAAGTTGAAACTTTTTAATTGCCTTTTTATACACTAAAAAATAAAAATGGAAAAGAAATTGTCTGCTTTCGAATATTCATTTAGTAATTTTTCCCTTCAATCTTATTCAAATTCACTTTTTTTCCCTAGGGAAAGTGTACCTTTTTCTTTCTCTCTTTCTCTATATTCTTTCCTGCCATATTTTGGCGCCTCTGAAAATGCAGCGCTCAAAGTTTTTCTGTTTTCTAGCCAGTGTAAATCTTTTGAATATTGTGTTTTCACCAGTGCAATAAAAATAGAATACTTGTTCAGCTATCAGATATATAGGAAATACGTCTCACGAACCAGACCTTATCAAAATATTTTTGCTGCATTTCCATTGTTGTATTCCTTCTTTTCGTTTTTTTTGTCCGTTTATAAAATTTAGGATAATTTCTCTCTCGAGAGTTTTTTTTTTTGAATCTCATCAATGATAACATTGAGCTAAAAAAAGATTTTAATTAAACGATTTAAAATAAGAGCAGCAAAACTATATCATGGGAAATAAAAAAAACCTCTCATGCACATTATCGACTTGCTTATTTCCGTTGTTTTTATTGCACATTTTAACAAAATGAGGTTTCTATGTAGGAACTYGCGTAATGCGCGAATTACTGTATAGGTACTCTTAACTAAATTGGTTTTAAGATTCATATTTCTTGTAAAGATTTATCGAATTTCTGTGCAGTTAATATAGACTACACTTCTAAACTCTAGTTTAAATATTCATGTCTGCATTAATTCCACTATGTTTATAAGTTCAGTAGACAAACTCTCACTTCTCGGGCAACACCTCGTGCACGCAATGGATTAAGAGCTCGCAAGGTTGACCGTCAAACAGAGGTGTCCTTAATGAAAGATCCTCCAAAGATAGGCAGGKTCACTTTGGCGACTTTTGCTACAGCTTTTGTGGAGATTTTCAAATGTATATAGATTTTGTCTTATCCTTGTGAAGAGATGTTTGGTTACTTCATCTGAATGTACACTGACCGCAATTATTGCTGCAAAMATTTCCTCAAAAATCGGTAGTGCGAACCGGCCGATATACAGAGGCGTCCGTTTTTGATACTTAGAAGTTCAGAATATAGTTATATTTAGGAAGKAGAGGTTTACCTTCAATGATTCCTTTACAATTTTTTTGCAAGTATTATTTTGTTATAAACTTATGTACATTTTCCGTATTCCATGCCAACAGCTTTGTCTAGGGAGGATTCAAACAGTTGATGGCCCGTAAAGAAGAGATGGCATAACTCATATCCACAATGAGTTTAGTWTACCAACTGACATAAATAATTCAGAAAATGGAAGAAATATTTAGATCCTTGAATGTAAACTAAATATACACGCCTAAAAATGGAAGCTATCGAAAAAAAACTTAGCCATAAATGATGGAATTAATAATGAGATCAAAATCCAGACTGCGCAAAGGGCATTAGTAAATACATGGACCGTCGTTTTTCAGAAATAGGCAATTAAATTGCTTAAATTTCTTGAATGCAAAATTAAGTTTATACACGTTTGAAACTAAAGTCACCGAAAATAAACCTTAAACCCAAAGAAATCCTTATTAATATGCAACRTGTACTTGAAATTCATTTTTACTATATTATTGAAGTTGATTGGCAAACTGGCTTGTCCAGAATATCAGAAAAATAAACAGTATCGRTGACAGTAAAAACTGTTTCCGACTGTCCGTCTGTTAAAGCTCGCACAGCGCATTGAAACTCGTTTTCATAGAGACTCGAGCGCTGAGTATACCATTCGAGATTGTAGCTAACCTGTTTATTTTAATAATTATTGACACTTGAGATAGCTTGAGCAAAGATTTCAAGAGAGTATTTCAAAGTTGGTTATCGGCCGACTAGAGCAATTCATTTTTATATCTCTTGAACTTGTCAAATTCTTGGAAAACCGCTTTCAAAAACTCAAGAGATTCAAATGTGTTTTTTTTTCTTCGTTTCGAAAAAACGCAAAGTAAATTCACAAAAGCGTTTCTTTTTTATTGCAAAGTTTTTAAATTTAGATCTTTCATTTGAACTCTAATTTAAACTCTCACATTGTGACATGGAAAAGATCAATTCAAAGACTTGCCCTAAAGCCCTCCATTTGATACTGAGTTTGGTCAAACAGCTGCACTTGCCACATTATAATTAACAGTTTCAGAATTCATAATTTCATATAAGACTTCAAGGATTGAGCATTTTAAAATTTCAATTAGTTAAAAAGCTAGTTGATGTAGTTATAGGACTTTTCAATGTTGTTGCTTTTGACTAGGTTTATTGTGCTACATTGAATCGTACACGCCGGGAGGCTAACATTCACACTATTATTTAATGGTCTTCTTGTAAAATCGCTTACTAACTCTGTTCAATTACTACTTAACTCGCTACTAACCTGGGACTGCTGACTGAGCTCTTGAGAATATAGAATTCTAGCAACCATTTTCTTTGCATCGCCTCGAAATGGACCAAAAAATGTATTTCCATCAATATGCCCTACGCTCCAGACTTGCTCTCCATTGTGAAAAATTTGGACTTTTTCCATTCTTGCCAAAAAAATGGGCAAGATTATGTAGCCTGTAAATCAAGAAYGAAAAAAAAGTAATTTATTTTTTTACTGACAAAAATGTATTTGATAGGTTGCAACAGTAGCTCCTCACCTTTCAAGCCTATATGGACTTAAGGATGTGATCTTCTTTAGTTGACCAATTTATTGAATTCGTTGTGTGTTGTTTAAACAGAATTGGTGGGAATTGTAAGGTGGCTCAACATCTGTTTAAGTGATTCATCTGAGCTTTTTAAAACACTATTTGGCCAAACTTTAATTGTTTCACTGCCACTTTATAAGTATCTATTATTGCCACAGAGAGGCTTTTAAAAGGCATGCCTACCTTAGCCATATGGCTGTGATATTTTGATATTACAAGGTCTTAATTGGGTCCAAGGTTTTGGCTTCGGCAGTCTACGTCACTTCATTGGATTGTATTGGATATTAGTGCTCTGATTCGCTCATTTCCTGGTTTCAACGTATCTTTTCCACTTCAGCCTCCACGTGTATTTGTTCCCATGATTTTTTGAAGCAATTGGACTTTGGTTTTCSCTTTCGTAAAGTGTTACTTGTTATTTGCATTTTAAGACACTAACAGTTTCAAAGAAAGCCAATACAAAGATAAACAATTTTATCTGACTAACAATAGTCACTTTGGGTGATAAAAATGAGAAAATTAWGGTTATATCTGGTTGAAAACAGTTGATAAAACTAGAAAATAAATTTGATTTCATTACAAGAAAGAACAAGAATCTAAAGAAATAATTTGTCAACATATGGGGCATTATTATTATTTTTATTGTCTGAGTGTAGGGATTAATAAACATATGTTCTTTTTCTTATGAAATAAATTTCGTCTAAAAATCAGTATATAACGAACTCTTCGAAATAAATAAAAAAAAGAAGATTAACCTCTCACACATAATAACTCAACTTTTACACCGTTGTACGCTTTTTAGAATTAAGAAAAAAAATCAAAACAATGTGCATAAGGTTGGTCGTTTACATATGCGGCTCGGTTTTGCACTGGAACAATCAAATAGCAGGTTTTTTTCAGTGTTCYTTTCGCCCAGAACTCATTAGCGGCCGTAAATACAATCAGCTCCTACTAATTAAAAGCAATTGGTACATCGTGTTTTCTGTACAAATTAACAAGCAGCTTGAAAATAAAATATATTGATAGTTTTTGTGTTGATGAATGGAGTGTGGCACTTGTTATCACGTAATTAATGCCGGCAAGTTCAGAATAAAGCTTAAGCCATTGTAAAATATTGCTAAGTATATTYTGTCATRGCKTTGCGTTCAAATACGGCCACTTCAATATTATAACACGGCCTCGTGCCAAAAAAGGCCATTCGTTTTCTTTGAAGTAAAACATGTCACTTTGTAGAACACATTTTTTCTGGTTGTTGACTTTCTTTAAATTTATAAAATTTTGTTGAATTTTACTTGATGAATGTTAAAAGTAGCGTTTGTTATAATTTTAAATAATAAAATTTATACTATTAATTACYATTATTAATTTGCCATATAATTAAATGTAACTTTGGATTGAAAATCTTGAGTTTTTCGGTGATTCATTTCGGTGATTTGACAGATTTGAAAAGATTACAGAATGTATTCAATGAAACAAAGTTATGTACTAAAAAAAAACAATAAAATATTATTGAAGCAMGTTACCTCGATTAAGAAAACGAAAAGTTTTGATACTAAAATTATGTAAACAAKAAAATATTGACTAGAGTGCTTTTAATAAAAGCGTGAAAAGTCAATTGTTAAATTGTGCAAAATACCCAAGTAAAACAAAAGAAAACAAAAGATTGGAGTTAGGATCAAATCGATTACAAAATAATATTACTAAAAGCTCTATAAAAAACAAACTGCTAAGACTAGTTTCAAAAATTTTATGCTTTTTGATTTCTTTTAATTTTTCGTATTTTTACACTTTAATTCGATTTAATAATATAATAATTTGACGAGTTTTGATAAAGTATATATTTTTTATTATATTTTTTATTTATTTATTTWTTTTTTCAATTTTAATTGATAATAGCTAGTAATGATCCTGATTATTAAACTGGATAACCTTATAATCGTAATAATGTAATTATAATGAAAACATGATTGTTTCTCTCTAAAAATGAAAAAGATAAAAAAATAGAAGAAATTTAGAACTAAATAGAATAACATTCAAACACAAATGATGATATTTAAKTCAAGCACAAACAATTACAATCCAAAGAAATGTCCACAGCAAAAACACGAAAAGAGAATTATTTTCTACTTCACGATTCCATTCACCATCTTAAAATGTGTAGGTATGCCTTCGCATCGAAGCAAGGCGACCATTGAGCGTGCAATGATAGATACCTGTGAATAATTGTCTGTAGGTGTRAAGGAAGGTTTCTATGATTGCACGCTCAACGGTCGTCTCGTCGCTACAATGAAGTTTACGGCTACCTATAAAGTTGGCGCATGGAACATTGAAGGAGATTATTTTTAAAGAACGCGACATGCGATTCATCGCCTAAGAAAAAAGCAAAAACAAAACAAAACAACAACAACCAATCGATCTCATGCATTTGGTATGAGAAACCAAATCATGTAGAAATGATGTACGGTAAATTGAGCGATAGTGCCAATTCCCCGCCAGTATAGGGGAGTTTGTCTTAAATCATAGTCTCTTAATTAACATTGTATCTAAATTGTCTACCAACTAGATTATGTCGATTCCCTACAAATTGGCTATTATATACGATTTTAATCTTTATTTCAAGACTTTTTTCTTGGTATATAGTAAAAGATTATTTATTCCTGTTGTTCGCAATTTTACAGAAAAAAACGACGTTTCGCGACCTGGATATTTTAAAGTTTTCCTCGTATTTCATTAAAAACCTTTTTTCACTAAAACAAACCTTCATTTATACACATTTATTTTACCAAACTCTTATACTGATAAAATTTTGTGTTGAAGTGGACCAAATAAAATTGATTGAATGATCACTGGGGAACTTCACAAGTCAAGGTACAAACTGTGACATCCCAATAACAATCAATTTGAGGTCGACGCGATACGAGGTCTTTTTGATATAAGTTAACTACTTTAGATACATTAGATTTGAGATTGAATGTATGATAATTGTTTTGTAAATGTGTGTCTTGAGCCAAGCATAACTAAGGCGTCGGCCGCGCGAGTTCAAATCACAACACTTCACTATCAATAGTCGATAACTTGACAAGTCTTTTTGATATCGTTAGATAAACAGGTAACAGCACGCGTCCCTAAAAAGTGCTCATTTATTTGCCGCAGTGACACGCTACAATATCACAAATATGAACGAAATCTACCTCCGAAATATCAACAGCTTCAAGGGTAGAGTTTGAGATCGGAAAATAACACTTCATTGTATTGTATATGTTAGAATAATCACCACTACCTCAGAAAAGTCGTAAGGAGTTAAAAGAAAAAAAAGAAGAAGAAATAATTGCATGGGGTCCCTAAATTTTGCGGCCAAAAATTCCAGAACACGTATGAGAATAAAGTGTTTTTCGCCTCGATTTAAATTTTCTGCTTAATTTTGCGTTACTAGAAGACCTCCTCCTCGTGTCTCTCTTTTTCTTTCTATTGTTTTTGACGTTTCTATTATTAGTGCTTTGCTTTTTCTCACTCTAGACTATTTCAAATCCTTTTTCGTTCCTAATTGATATTTCTAGCAAAGTTTTTTAATTCACTTTTCCCAGATTAATTAGCTACTGTCTGGAAAAAATCGCGCGCTTTAAAGGTTGCAAATTTGATGTAAATATGATGTAAGTGTCCAAAATTCTGTAAATTTAATGTAAATAATTTCCATTGAATTTACAGAATTTTGGACACTTACATCATATTTACATCAAATTTACAACCTTTAAARCGCGCGATTTTTTCCAGTACTGTGTCCAATCTTTGAAAAATGTAAAATATATATAAAATAAATAATTATAATTGTATGAGGAAGTAGCTGATCCCATTAAAGAGTGCTCAATACACATAAAGTGTAGAGCTAGTTATATATATAATATCATAGAGGCAAGATTTTGCTGTAACTCCGAGTTTCGTGCTACGCACTCATCAGATACTGTCTGATGAGTGCGTAGCACGAAACTCGGAGAAACAGAAAATCTTGCCTCTTCGTTATTATATATATAACAGTAAAATAGATAATATATAAATTATAAGATCAGAAAACAAAATAGAATATGGTTATACATTCGGAAACTGCCCCCCCCCCCCCCCCCCCCCCCAAAAAAAAAAAAAAATAGAAAATATTTAATCTTTGCATAAAAATTTAAATGATATGAAACGAAAGAGACTCGTTATGAAAAGAAAGGTAAATTTTAAAAGTAAAAAAGGGCTGTTACCATAAACATTTCCTTTTTTAAACTTGTGGCTTTATTAAGCACTTTGGATAAAAAGCGTTTTTATCCAAAGTTCAAAGCAACCATTAAAATGAAAGCACCTAGGATCTGTGCTTAGCCTTTGTACTGTTAAAAACAGGTTTTTATTAATAAAAAACAGGTTTTCCGTGAAGCAGAAGAAACATCATCGATGAGAATTATGTTATAGATTGCGTTTTGTCATATTAAATAACAATCTATGATTCAAGTATAGGAAGTCTAGCCCTGGACGCAATCGATAGATTATTTTTCACAAGCATATATTAACTTACCTCAACACCCTTGAATATGGAGTGCTCTTATACGTTTCTAACACCAATTGAAGAGATCAAGGTGCTAAAAGTGCAGATTGACTTGCGATGTCCACTTCAACATATCAGTGCATGCTTTCAAGGAAAAAGGTTCCATTCAATTCGAGTTGGTACTTTTACAAGTCGGTAAATTCAGCTTTCATCTTGCTCTCTCAATACCTGTCAAATGACACTGTAAAAGGCAGATGCTACTGTTTCTTGTTATCCWATTTTGCAAGAAACATGTTTAAATAAATAAACTTTATTCTTGTAAAASTATTCTTTCAAAAGTGCTCTTTATTTATTTTTCTGGGGTTCTTATACACAAACGAATGACCGACTTTCGAAACGCGAGCGTGTCTTAAAAAAATGTTTTCTTTGGCGGTGTATAATTCAACCTTTTGTCGCAATAATGTTTCATTAAAAGCCCCGACGCATTTCACACTAATTCAATGCTCGCTACTTATTGAGTCCTACGGTTTTATGCGACTCTTCTTGACCTTCTGGCCAAGTTGTTTAACAAAAAAGCATCGATTCAAATTTTTAGGAAGAAAAAAATGATATTTTATGCATTATACACCAGGTGTTCTAAGTACATACAACTGTTTTAAGAAGTCTGCTAGAAAAATACTAGAAAAGGAAAATATAACTCACTTCATATCATGTAACAATTTTGGAACTGAAACCTTGTAAATTACGGTAAAATTATGCGTATGAACTTTATAGGATTAAGGTCTATTTCCACAGATCTAATGGAAGTTTTGACGATCTTTGTATTGATTTTCCTGTCAATTTTTTTTTGCATACATACGTTCTTATCTAGGATTTCATAGCTTTACTATATGRAAACCCAAATTTCAAATACTTTCAATGATTGTGAAACATGAATTGTAGATTTTGATCGAGATATTTTCAATCAAAAAAACATTGTTAGGTTTAAAAGTCATCAAAATTGAGACGAATGTTTATTTTTTTCGTATGACTCTGAAGTCATACTTCTTATTTYCTCGTAAATTTTTGAATGTTAAAGTCTCTTAGTCGCATAATATTGTGCTAATTTTATGCCTTCCCAT